CCGTGCGCCTCGTGAGGGCCGCGGGTATCCGCGGGTGGAAGACGTAGGGGAGTTTACCTGTCCGCTGTTGATAACAAGTTTAAATGGTGCTGTGCTTCTGTGGTTTTCTTTTTTTTACCCAGTTCCAGGTGAATGACTGAAAAAAAGGCTTGAAAGTAAACGAGCATGTGTGTGAAAGGATCAGATTTTGTGTTTGTTCATTTTGTAACAGGTGAAGTTAAGGAGTTGTGCTCTTAACTCTAGGTATTCTTTCCTCTCTTTAGTTAGGTAGAGCTACTGCAAGGATTTATAGTAACGTTGAGAAGATTTAATTAAACCAACGTGTTGGTGGGCAGTGAAGGTCTGCAGTTGTTTTGAATATGAAAAGCACTTTATGGCATTTTAATTCCAATAATCAAGATTTAAGATAGGGTAGGTATTAAACTCTACAGCTCTATACAGTCTGTACGGATGCACTTCTTGATGCTGTCGTTTGTTCTGTTGAGTATAAAAAGGGCTGTATATGAAACATTTCTGCAGTCTGAGGTGTTGGTATCCACTGCAGATATAAATCAGGTGCAGGGCCTGATTTCTGTTACACCACCAGAGCACATGAGCCAATTTTTCAATGCCATGGTCACCTAAGACTTACCTCCCTCATTAAGTTTCCTCATATCTGCTGTCTGTTGTCTCCTCTTTAGTCTCAGGGAATTTTTTGTCTTTGTGTTTAGCTTTGAATGAAGGGAGGTGGTGAACCATAGGCAGGCTTTGTTGTTGTTGATACTCAAGTTCCTGTCAAAAATCAGACCAGGTTTACTGTGAACTTCACCTCTAGGACTTTTGCAGATTATTGCCAGCACAGGATGATTATGAAATTTCCAGAAATTCAAGTAGGTATCACGTACCTCCATAAGCCATGAAAATCCAGCCAGAGATGCAGCATTAGGTAGCTCATCCCCAAGTGTTTGGACAGCTTGGCCAGTCATCCTTGCACGCTTTGATCCTATGCATCTGAGTGCCTGGAGAGGACAGCACCTCACTCCTCTGTCTCTACACTGGGGAAAAACACGTGTTCCTCAATACTGAAGCTAGAACAGGAACTGGCCATGCAGTTCCACAGATGAAGGCTGCCACGGCTGCTGTGCTGACCCAGTCGCTCTCTGAAGACCATGTTGCTAATCAGAGATGGGGGACATCCCGCCCTCCCAAGCTGAGGACTTCCAGAGCAATTCTCCCATCCCCAGACTTGACCTCAGCTGCCAGGTTGGTGAAAGGTAACTTAAGGCTAGAGGCACTTAGGGCTACAGAAACGCAGCACTGTGTGATATGCACAAGCACTGCTGAAAGTGGTAGTTCCCATAGCCTGCTGCAGGTCCTTTTGGTCCATATTAAGGCTGTCTTTTGTTTTAGCAGAAGTCGGTCATGCTAAACCCTGTCAAATTCTGATAAGGTGAGGCCCTACGCTTGCTGCTCCATGACACATTCATAAGGGCAAAGGAAATACAGGAAATAGCCTATGTTTTTGCTTGGGCTTTGCGTCTACTTGAAAGGAAATGTGCTGTTGCATGTTCTCATCCTGGTATCACTGTGTTGGAGTCCAGGCAGAGCTTATCTGCTGCTGATAGCATCAGCTGTGTGCATTTCGTGGTAAACTAACCTCTTACTGGATTTTGTGTGATGAAAATATAGGGCAGAAGCTGAAATTAATTTCATCTGGGGAGAGGGAGAACAACGTTCTAGCTTTTCGTAGCAAAGCTGTTGGGATGGATTTTTATTGTCATACACTGTTTGGAGTGGTTTAACTGGTAATTTTTGTTTACTGCCAGCCCAGTGTACTTATTACTGAGCATTGAGATTCAGCAAAAGCCAGCAGTGCTGCAAGGTGGCCCCTGGAATTGGCGCTCTGAGTATCACTTGCAAGAGGCGTGTAGTTGACAGGTGCTCTCAGGGATTAACGTACCATACATTAGAATTAGGAGCTGAAAAATGAAGCCTGTTTTCTAACCCTTTGTACTTCACTATGTATATGTGTATAAATGTGTGATATTTCCATTAAAAGAAGCACAAACTGTGAAACTTGGTGGAGACCTTATTCTTCAGAGAGGCTTGGGCATGTTGTTTGCGCTACATCTGAAACTGGTTTTGCCTTACCTGGGAGGAGTTGATGTGTGAATATTTCTCTACAAATAGAAGAACATTTGTCCATTCTTTGGGTCTCAGCTGGGGGTCTCCCTGTGGAGACAGCAGTTCCTCATAGGACCCGCGGTCACGTTTTTGTTCTGCAGGTGGATGATCGGCTGGTATCCCTACAGACGGTGGGATGGAGCTTTGTGTCGCTGTTTAAGGCTTCACACTTGGTGGCCGGGGAGCTGCTGGCGCAGAGCCCTGGGGCTGCCCCTTGCTGGTGACCTGCAGCCACCCGATATGCGGCGGGGAGCCGCGTGGGCTCAGTCACTTCTGCAGCAAGCAAGAGGGGGTTAAAATAATGACGATGGAAAGGGAAATCCCAGACGCTTCCCAGCACATGCCAAAATGCCATCGTGCTCACTTTTCTCCTCAAAGCTACGGTGTGGCAACGACGAGATGCTGAAGCCCCAGAAGAAGGCTTTGTGGGCAGCAACAGAGGCCTGCTGTGCTGCTATATAGTGCGCATCTCCTCTTCATGCTAATGAAAACTGTCCCTTAGCCCCTGACAAAAATCCTCACTGGCATCTCCATCTCCGCCATCTCCTTTTTTTTCTTTTCCTGGAAATGTTCTTACTAGTCCTGTACGCTCATGTTGTGCTGTGAAGGGATAGAACTTAGAGCAGCTGGTAACGGATACCGTGCAGGGGAAAATGGCATGTAGAGCTACAGTATCCTCTGCAGAGCTTTTGTTTCTTCAGACATATGAGGAAGAAACTGATAGGGTGACAGAGCCCTGGAACAGGCTGCCCAGAGGGGCTGTGGAGGCTCCTTCTCTGGAGATCTTCCAAACCCGCCTGGATGCCACCCTGTGCCACGTGCTCTGGGTGTCCCTGCTGGAGCAGGGGGGTTGGAGTAGATGATCTCTAGAGGTCCCTTCCAACCTCAACCATTCTGTGATTCTGTTTGTTTCTGTGAAACTTCCAAAACCTGCAACTGAAGTTAGGGTCCAATTTTTAGTGCTCCGAAACCCCAAAGAAAGCAGCTTGGACTAAGATGTTTGGGAAACTTAGAGCCTTTCCCCCCTTTGAGCCCTCTTCGGAAGGACTGAACAAGTGCTGGGGCTCAGAGCTGCCTGATGATGTTCACTGACCCCCATAAAGTAGGGCAGAAGGAATCGCAGGTAGAATTACAAACCATGCAGTCATTTGGGTCATCCAAAGAGCCGCTTCATTACTTTGCTTATTGCCCAACGAGAGGGTATATTTAGCAGAGGTACCAGCTAACAAACCACCCACTAGTCTTCTCAAGGCAAGCAGAAATTGGATTGACAGCTCTGCACACACTCTGTATAGCACGTTTCGCAAAGAAATATCTGATTTCCAAGTCCCTGGCAACTGGTAAACAAATATTATTAGGAAAGTACCTTGGGCAGCTGGAAGAGTGGACAGGTCAGTGATGGGAGGAAGTAGCACGTTTCGCAAAGAAATCTCTGATTTCCAAGTCCCTGGCAACTGCTAAACAAATATTATTAGGAAAGTACCCTGGGCAGCTGGAGAGTGGACAGGTCAGTGATGGGAGGAAGGAAGGAAAAATATGTCAATGAGTCATGCTGTGTCTCTGATTTGAAACAACATGGGCTTCTGGCTCCATTTTTTTCTGACTGTTTTATAGACACAAGTTAAAAGCAGCAACAAAGGCTTGGTCTGATCTGCCAAGGAATATGTTATTTAAAAAGAACATGATTCAGTGTGAGCCTCCTTCCATGACTCCTCAATTTCTAGAAACGGGCTCTCCTAGACGTTGGAGTAGCTGCTTTTGCTCACATTTGCACACTTCCCTGAGTGCAAGGTATTTGCAGACCACATGCAAGCATATTTACTTAATTTGAGGTAACAATATAGATATTAAAATTAAACTTCTTTTTGTTTTGCTAAAGAAAATCCATACTTGTCCTTACTTACACTAGAAATAAATGAGTTAATACTTTGGATGAAGGCTGCAACATCCCACCCATTTTTTTGTCAAGCAGTGACTTTGGACAGAAAGCTGTAAAAGACTTGCTCTGAGGTTTACATGGGCACATGATTTTTTTAAATTCATGAGTGACATCCCTTATGTCCTCTTGTGCATAGCAATGCTAAAAGTGTTCCAGACTGCCATGCTTGGGGGTTGGTGCAACAGGCAGCCCAGCACAGGCTCTTTGGAGGATGCACATGGATCAAAAAACGAAAATATGAAACCAACCCACTCATGGTAGGAGATTTCAAGCAATTGATTTCGGTATTGGCATATTCCTGCTAACACTCCTTCTTAGATGAGTCCAAGGATGCTCCTCTGTGTTAATAGCATGAACCAAGGGGTCATTTCTTGGGTGATAAACACGAATCAGGGCTTCAAATGTGCTAGAGCAGAGACGTAGGTTCCTCAGAAATGCCCCTTTTCAGTTCCCAAACTTGCTCAGAAATAGCCCTGTGTTGGTGCAGTCTGCTGGACTCTTCCCAGGAGCTGTAAACATTTTCCTTCTGAGGGCCTGGGTTTGCAGAACGTGGCACAGCAGATGTGAAGGGCCAACGCACATTGCTGTGGAGGACAGCAGTTTTCTTTGGCAGGTTTCCTATGCAAGGCTAAATATGGCATTTGAGAAAAATATCAACTGTGAACCCTTTTGCTCCGTGACTGTAGAACGGCTGTGCACTGACAAGCACAAATGGCTCTAGCCAGAGCCAGGCATAGACCACAAAGTGTTTTATTATGCTAAATAAGGACACCTCAGACTTGTCAAATAGGCTGCCCAGAACTGGTGAATATCTTCATTTCCTAGCCATAATTAACAATATAATGAAATTATATTAATTATAGGTGGTATTAAGTTAATGCATGCCTATAAAACTACCTATAAGTAACATAACCATACACGTATATAATTTTACACAGAAATTTTATAATAAATGTTAGATTTTTATCATCTTATGTGTTTAATATGTATATTATATGGTGTTTTAATATATATGTACATATATTATGTATTTCATATTACTATAAAATAACATTTATATATTTTTAAAGATATACATAAAGAAGGCCTCTCAGCTCCAGGTGATGATGTGCAGCATGTAGATGTGTGCGGCATTTACAGCCAAAAATCTGTGCAGGGCCCCATGAGGCGCCACAGGCGTTTTCAGCACGAGGAGCCACACACAGCCTTCCACTGACAGGGGTGATAAAGTATTTCCGTTCTAACCAGAGCGAAGGTTTCCTCGTGCTTGTTGCATTGCCATTGCAAAAGGCACCAGTATGGGGTATTCTGCATTACCCCTTGGCAGTGTTAATGAGAAGCAAATCAAGACGCTGTTGGGTTAAGTTATTGCCCCACAAAAAGTGCTGCTCCAACACAAGGTGAAACCGAGTTTCAAAAGACTACACGAATTTAGTTGTATGGGCAGTGGACACGCTATGTTATCAGCTTGGCTGCTGTCCCAGGGGGGTGTAGCAAAATAGCTGTCGCTCAGCTTTTGCTCACGTTTCCATGCGAGGAATTTCATCACACTCTAATCATTGCTTTTAACATCTTAAAAGTGATTTCTCCGACCTCCCGGCATCCTTCCTCAGAGGCTGTGGTTGCAGCCTCTCCAAGTGTATTGATAAAGGTGATAAAGAACCCCGTTGCCTTGGAGAAGAGGAGACCTGCACGGACAAATCAGATTGACTTCCCTTTGTTTTGCTCTTGAAAACTTGTTTTCCAAACTCAGCTTCTGCGGATGGTCCCACTTTACAGGTAGTCCCATGATGACTTTTTTTTTGCTTGTAGCCTTCCTGGGACTGATGCTGCAGGGTTTGCTTTGCTGGTCTGTCTGAGATGGCCTCCTGCAAGAGCCTCTTTTGGGCTTAGGGGCACCTCTTTGGGGTGCATGTGCAAACTGAAGCTGCCCCATGCAGAGGCTGTTGCCTACCTGAACCACTCACCCAAGTATGAGCCTTAAGCAGGGCTTACTCAATGCTAGTTCTTTACGTACGAGTTTGCTCTTCAGCTGCCACGTGCAGAGCAGAGCTAGCATGGTGGCTGGTTTTAAGCACTAGAAAAAAGAAGGTATCAGCTACTGTCTGTGTCCTGGCTTTCTTTATACAAATGAATATTTGCAGCATCGCAAAACACTCAAAAGCTTTGCCTAAAATGCTAGGCTGAAACTTTTAGCAGCACATACCGCCAATATGTGCCCTGCTTTTCTGAATAGTTCCAGCTTTTTGGAGCGTTTGGAGTCTATTTAGCAGACTTACCAAGTCCTGAAACAAAAGCCAGATGCGGGCAGTCTAGATGACATTGAAAGCCCTGTCTTGCCATTTCCTATTCACTAGGTTCCTCTGAAGGCCTCATACAAACTAAAGGCATTTAGACTGAATTTAAGTGAATCTGGGGTAGAATGTCCAAAAAGAGGAGAACAGAGGAGGAAGGGACTGTGACAAGGATCCGGGGCAGCAGCAAGCCCGAGGAAGCAGGATGCTAACTTAGCAGTGATAATCTCCCAGCAGAGTTCTTAAAAATCACATTACCATATGGATGTAAACTTTGAATCGTCGTCTGTGCCCCTCAAGAGAGCCTTGGGATGTGTTAGCCCAGGAAGGAGCAGCTCTGTGGCTATGAGTCTGTGCCCCTCAAGAGAGCCTGGGATGTGTTAGCCCAGGAAGGAGCAGAAGAAAGCAGCTCCTTATTTCCTCCTGTGCCATCCAAAGTCCTCTCCCTCTTGCTGGATCAGGCACATCTTTCAAGTCACAGTTATCAAAAACAACCAAGATACCTGCAGATAAGCCTCGTGAAACAAGCACAAGATGCTCTGAGCACACGCTGATAAATGCTTTAGCACAAGAGCAGATATTTCACTGCTCCTAAGCTGGGCGAGACCGTTTTCTTAAAAGGGCCCTGCACTATTCGAGCATCGTCCTGGCTCAGTTCCTTTGGATTTGCTCGTAACTTTAACCGCAGCCGGTGATCCTGGATGGGAAGGGTGAGTCTTGTGTGATGGTGACACCGGATGTTGCCAACCCGACCCCAGGGCTCCACAGCCAGCTGGGTCCAAGTCTGCCCATGGTCTGGAGGAAACGCAGGTGCTTCTGATCTAGTGTATAAGAAGCTCTTGAACTAAACATAAAAAATAAATAACCCAGCCAGTACAGTAGTCAGCCATGCCATTTGGATGTGAATCTCAGCATGCTTTCTGCTGTGTTCACCTTCAGTTTTAACACTGCTGCCAATTGTCCTCTTCAGGTTTCACGAGCAACCACCCCA